ATACACACACACACACACACACACACACACACACACACACACACACACACAGGAAGAAGGGAAGCAGATTTATTTAGAAGCAGCCTCACTGAGTGGCTAGCTGGATCACTGCTCATGTCTATGACTCGGTCCTAACAGGAAGCCCTAGAAGTCACTCAACCATTATTTCTCTCTGAGGCGCTTTCTGATTGACAGTATTCAGTCCTGACCAAAAGGGGCTGGCTCACTAACGGAAGCCCTGCTGCCCAGGAAGGGCACAGGCGGGCAGCTCCACAGAAGGGCAAGTTCTGCCTCACAACTGAAAAAATCCTATTCATGCAAAAACCTCAACCAAGAAAAGCTGTGTGACACCATCCTTGATGCCTGGCACTTTCTAAAACCAGCAAGGAAAGTCTAATGGGCCGGAGCAGGCCACTACTGCTCTCCAGCAGGGACAGCGTGCCATGAGCTGCTCCTTGTCCTGGCTATGGCTGTGGCCACCCCAGGTTTTAAGCCAGACAGGGAAAAGCTTGCTTGAGGAAAGTGTCGCTAACTCTTTTATTGTCAAATATAAAAGAGGGGAGAAGCCTGGTTCTGGTCAGACAGGCAGACTGCATCAGTTCTGGGGGTGGGGGGTGGGGAGAGCTTGTGACCTGCCTTGGAAAGGAAGCATTGGCTGGGACTGGCTGAGGCTTGTTCCCTATGAGGCCTGCTTTTGTTGATTTCTTTTATTTTTATTTTGTTCTGTTCTATCTCTGTTTGTTAACAGCTAAATCTGAAGAAAACAGACTTTACTACATGTGCTGTTACAAACTACAGACCAAAAACCAGGAAAAAAATGGACGTTCGATTTTTAACCCAGCTCATAGATTTTCCTTCTACTTACTCTCTCTAGAAGACCCAAGTGCCAGTTTCTATCGCTTACGTAGTGTTCTCTACGAAACATCTCTGGGGCTGGCAGTTGGATTTTTCCTTCTTCTAGTAACTTGTGATCAAATGAAGAGTGACGTGGATCCCATGATAACATCGTGAGTCACTAAGACCAACTCTCCGGTAAGAGCCACCACATAAAGACACCCCTCCCTGTTCAGAGTATGAGTGCAGTTTATCCTTCCCCAAATGTGGCTCCACCACAGCCTTCCGCTGAGCTGAGAGGCCACAACCCCACGCTGGACCCCGAGTCGTGTAGAAGGGGAATGGAGTTGCCTTAAGAAACCAACATTACAGTAATATGAAAGATCCCGGATTGTGGCAGGATAAATATTATGTCTGGGAAGACATCCACAGCAAGGAATTTTACTTCAGAAAAGCTCTATTTTCAAAATGGGCAGGTTCTGAGCTGCCAGGAGGCCACGTAAACAGCAGATTCCACCAAGAAGTGAAACCCTTTCCTGACAGACCATAGAACACTTGGCTTTAGGGGCATGAGTGTCACTGTCACTGGGGAAGACATCTTACTGTCAATGACAGAATGCCCTCCAATCCCGCATAAGTGATTACATTCACTATGTACCTAATGGTTCAACAAAGGCCTGGATTGGCCTTTTAAATTGATCTACTTTCCTAAACCCAACCAACCAGGTCCTGAGTCTACGGATATCACCATCACCAAAACAACAGAGGGGCACAAGAAAACGCCAGCCTTGTGGTTCCCTTGTATATTTCCTGACTATCTGTTGAGCATAAAACTTGGTGCTAATCTGGCACTCCATAGTCAAAGCTACATTCCAAATTTGCACATTTTGGCACCCACACATCCCAGAAGGTCTGCAAGCAAATTGGAAACTTTACACTGCACACGGAAATCTGGGCATGCGTGCATTCTTTTCCGTTCTTGGAAAATGTCTTTTAGAGGATTTTCAGAATTATCTATGACATTTCCCAACGATTAAAAATCACATTCTTGAGCCGGGCGTTGGTGGCACACGCCTTTAATCCCAGCTCTCGGGAGGCAGAGGATCTCTGTGAGTTCGAGACCAGCCTGATCTACAAGAGCTAGTTCCAGGACAGCCTCCAAAGTCACAGAGAAACCATGTCTCAAAAAACAAATCAACAACAACAAAAAAATCACATTCTTAGAACAAATGGGAATTGGCCATGGTTTCCCTCCTTACAATCACAGTGACTGATACATTCGGTAGTGTGGGCTTCAGCTCTCGGTGAAAACATGGAAGCTATGTTGTCTGATGGATCCATTCACTGGCAGCTAATAAAATACTCTAGTATGGAAGAGGTGTTTGTGGCCATCACTGCTAAAGTTACTTAAATGCCTGTCACCTCACCTGTGGGGCACTCTCTTGTCATCAGAAGGTTGCAGTTACAGGCAGAGAAAAACAATCAGCTAATTAGCCTTATGAAAGGGAGTTCTTGTTGACCCTGAACTTGGTGGTGACTGATAGTCTCAGGGATTAAAACAATTGTTCTGAACAACCACTTACGCCCCTTCCTAATCTCTTGACTTCAGTGGGTCTCCCAGGATTCCCTCTGCTCAGCCCCACCCCCACCCCACCCCCACCCCCGGGGGGGAGCCGCTCTCTCTTCCTTTGTGAAGCCACTGTCAATCAATTTGCAGATCAGGAATCAAAGGGAGAAACATTCCCCAGGTCAGATAGGGGAAAGATCTAAACTACCTGGAGAGAAGGGGGAAGCCAGGGGCTGAGGAAAAGCCTGGCTGCCTAGGCCTTCACCAGTGTTCACAGGGGCCAGCGGGCAGCCCGGCCTTAGAAGCCAGACAGGCAGGTTCTCCCAGTTGCAGGCTGAACCTGAGGTTAGGAGCTGTGGCACGCGCTGGCCATCAGCCAGCACCAGACAGATCCATTTCTTGGAACAGAGAAAAATCCTTCCTTGGGTAGCTCTGGCAGTCTCTGTGAGGGTCACAGCCCCCAGTGTCTGGCATCTGGCAAAGAAAGGGGCATCCTTACATGTCTTCTCTACCTTTCGCTCCATAGAGCACCCAGGCCCCTTGGAGAATCCATCATTGACAGGATTCCAAACTGATCTTAAGATGTGGGGATGAATGAGAAGCCAGAACCTTCTGGGTCAGTCTATGAATGCCAAGAGCATATTTTTAAGCATATAAAAAATACAGAAAATGAAATAGTTGAGTCTTAAGATCACTTAATAAAACATAATGAAACTTTCAAAGGGTAAAGCTCAGCTAGGGAGATCAGGACTGATTGTAGAGCTAGTGAGAGCATCTATTCACTTTCTAATGGGAAACAGATTGCAAGAGAGAGGAGAAAGAGGGGGGGGGAATATCTAGTAGGCTTTGATGATGACACAAAAAGGCGAAATAGTTATATTTTGTGACTATAAAGTGAAATTACAAGATAAAAACCATGTTCAGCTCACTTGTCTTTTATTATTGACTTAAAAATTTAAATCGTAAAAATTCAAGCCCAATGCTATATATTGTAACTGGGTCAAGTGGTTTTAACTACTTACTATCAGGTGTGGAGAGGAGAGCCTGTTCAAACTAATTATAATCCCTATTTTTCTTCTGATTAATGTTTTCACTAGAGGGTATAAGAAGACAGCCTGGCCTTGGGTGTCGCTGTTTTCCTTCTGGGGGTTTATGCAAACTCAAGTGCACACTGGCACAAATCAGGTAGCAGAATGCAAACAGTCCACACCTTGGGGAAACAGTCCGCCGTTCCTCAGGTAAACACCAGCACCTATTAGTCACCCACTCAAAACAGAAATGGCCAAAGAGGGACGGGGGGCCAGCCCCCAGCACCACAAAAGCAAGCACGGCACTTGCAAAAGCCCATTCTTCATCATCACCATTGACTTGCTGTGATGAGTGTCAGAAAGCCACAATGCAAAAAACCCCCCATGGGAAAATGTCACTGGAATGGGCCATTAAATAAATAGTCTTCCAAACTTCCATAGCCAAACAGGACAAAAAGGCCTACGAGTATGACCACACTTTCTCTGGCCACCAAGTGATGCCCAGTTAGCCATTCCTAAAAGTGGCAATTCCTAAGAAGTGATGAAGTTCACTGCTAGGTGGGTGGGTGAGCCTGGCTGTGGGGTCTTTATTTCTTCTTGGCTTCCCACCCGGTCTGCCAGCAACTCATCTGAACCCTCCTCCATATTTTCTAAACACACGCCTCTGAACCATAATGCAAATTCCATTTGCTGAAAGACAGACTTTAAACGTAACAAGTGAACCCACTTAACGACACCACACCGGCTCTCACAGCAGCACTCAGGCTTTTAGCAAGTGGATAGACTTTTCTGTGAATCACCTATTATTAGCATAGTAGTGTGAACATATATTTTCAATCACATCGGGGGTTTTTTAGTTTTCTCCAGCCGTGATTTCATTAGAAAAATGCCCTGGACATCTAGGCGAGCAAGAGCAGCAGCCCAGATGCACATATACTGACCCTTTTCCCTCTCCCACTAAGAACACAGATGTTTTCGGGTTTCTGGATGCATTCACACACAGGAGTGGTGACTCCTTTACCTGGCCTTTTCTACATTTGCCAGTATGCTTGTTTTGTTTGCGTGGTTCTGGGATCAAGCCGAGGGCCTTGCACATGCTAGGCAAGCGTTCTACCATGGCCAAGCCACAGCCATCACCAACCCCTTCCTATTCTTTCCCAATGACAGAACTCTAACTGTTACTCAGACATCTGTTCTGTCTTCTTGACTGAGCTAGAAACACCTTTGATGGCCAAGCTTATTCAGCTCTATACTACAAAAGTGAAACTTGAAGCCAAGTCCCCTTGCTCTTAAATTTTCACTACTTGCTGATGTTTGTAAAATACGATTTAGATCCTAGCAACAAAGAGAAAATACAAGACATGGGTGATAACTGGAAAGTCAGGACACCCACAGTGAAACAAGAATCCTCTTTCTACTTCAGTACTTTGATAGTTGGCTAAGGGTGAAGGACAATAAAACTGCATGTCCCCCTGCGCTAAGGTCGTGGCTTCCTTAAACTATCTGGCCTCTAATTAACATTAGATTGATTAACATCCAGATGTTAAGTGAGCCCCACTTCTCCCACCAAACTGTAACAAGCTTCATCGTGAAGGTCAGGTTGTTCTCAGTTGTACTAATATGATTCCATGTCTATCCTAGAAATATGAGCTTGCTTACAACCGTATCATACACTATAAGGATTCCGCCAAATCACTGGTGTGACCAGTTGAAACCCTGTCACTTGTTGTAGAAAGCAGAGGTACCAGATGCCAAAGGCTCAAGATGCCCAGATTGGCCGATAGTGAACTCTCATTACATAATCTTAGTTCTCATTGTGGTGAGGTTCACTTTTCTCTTTTTAGAAAAATGGTGTTTTACCAAAATTCACAATTCATGCCCAGCAGTCTTGGAGCACACCTTTAATGCCAGAACTCAGGAGGCAGAGGCAGGTGGATCTCTGTGAGTTCCAGTCCAGCCTGGTCTACAGAGCCAGTTTTGGGACAGCCAAGGCTGCACAGAGAAACCCTGTCTTGAAAAACAAAAAACAAAAACAACAAAAGCAAAAAACAAACAAACAGAAAAAAGTAATTCATTCATGTATTTTGAGTCAAGTCAGACTCAAACCAATTTAGTCATCAAACATGGTAGTATAAAATTAGATTCCTGCAGAAGTATTACATTTCAAATAAATATTAAATTAAAGTTTGATGAGGCATCAATATTAAGAAACTGCTACTAGCTGGAAAATCTGGGTTTGTTCCCAGGTAAATACTTTGCATTTCAAGTTCATTTGTGACAGATACGTACCTCTACCACTCCGACCGACAAACCTGAGGTCGTTGAATCTTGCCACTTGGTTCTTCATGGCTGCTGTAGCATTTCTCAGCTCTGCCGAATAGTTTTCATCGTTGCCTGCCATCACGGTGACCAAAGTGCCATCGGGAACGTCCCCCAGCGCTACCACCTAGACATCAGTCAGGGGACAAATGCAGACATCAGAGCTGTCATAGGTACACTTTTCCGTCACATGCGTGGCAATTGTTCTAAAATTAAACATATGCTCAACGATACTTTCTGGTGTTTAGAAGAATAGTCATAACTTGAGCATCACAACAGAAAAACTTGCTGTTAATTGTACAATGCATACATAGATATAGATTTTTCAAATGAGGAAGGCACTGATGAAATTCAAGGAATAAAGCCACATAAAGTCACACAGCATGGTGGGAACAAGGCAAAAGGTGACAGGAGCGATTGGTTCTCATCAGTATAGTCATCTCTTAAGACCTCATGTTTGAAAGGCAGGAAGTCTTATTCGGGTAGGCTCATAATCTAAATCCACCTTTAAGAAAAGGTTTATTATATATTTTGAATTAAATATATGTGGGTCTATGTGTGAATATGAGTGTAAATGCCACTGGGGACCAGAGGCACGGAAACACCCTGGAGCTGGAATTATAGGCAGATGTGAGCCACCTGACCTAGGGGCTGGGAATCAGAACTGACCCTGGCAATGGTATCGTGTGTTCTTAACTACGGAGCCACCTCTCCAATGCCATCTTTTACTTGCTTGAACCTCCATAGGTGCTCCTAACAGGGACTGGACTTGGCAACTTAAACATAGTTCTGCTAAACTGAAATTTGACTTTTGCTACTATTTATTTATTTATGTATTTATTTATCTATTTATTTATTGAGACAAGGTCTCACATAGCCCAGGGTAGCCTCAAGCTTCTGTCTAAGATGACCTTGAACTCCTGATCTTCCTGTCCCCACCTTGCAGGGGTGCTGGGGCTACAATATGTGTTCCATCACAGGCATAGCTTCCAATGACCCTGGAAGGACTCAAGCTGCAGCTTGTCTCTGACATCTCCTTTTGCCTCTACTGGATTCTCACTAGCAGTGAACTCTGGCATGCAAGGAGAAAAACCAGAAATGCGCCATTCATTTATTATTAATTACAAAAGGGGGTTCCAATTTAATCATTCTCCTCAAACCAAAGGTGAAACCAAGCTGCATCTTCACATCTGTGAGCCCCAAACATATACTAACTGTGTTCTAAGGGTTTCCTTTATTGTCATTGAGAAGGTAAGGGCTCGTTTCATTTTGAGGACAACTGGTCGATAAACATTTCATATCCAGAAAACTAAAAGAAGCAGTAATTTTAAAATGAAATTCTCTGAAGTACATGCCTTGAAAATGCTTCACAAAGTATTACCCATCAGCTGGCTGCTGTTTGGTTCTTTCTATTTTGTTTTAGAGCTAGGGTCTCACTAGATAGTCTAGAGTAGCCTTGAACTCATGACCCTCTTGTCTACACCTGTGAGGCCCGGGCTTATGGACATGCACCACCAAGCTTGGTAACCCTTGACTTCAGCAGCGATTTTTGAGTTTTGACTTCATTATGGCTTAACATTTGCTTTGTTCCAATTTCAAAGTAGTCATGGAATTCAAATCCAAATGCCTCAAGTTCAGTTTTCTTTTTCCCCAGTCACTTCTGATATAACATTGTCAGTCTGCGGTGATTTTTTTTTTTTTTAATTTATCGTGATAAACAACAAGTTGATAGTAGCAAGCATTTCTCAATATACTGTTACTTTGGTTTTCATTGTTTTGCATACTAGTCGATGCATCATTTATTGGAGGAACATTTCTCTGTCTGTATGTATGTAAATAAGGTTGCCACAGATTCGCTAATCTGATATCAACATCCAGCCCCTGTGCTTGCCATCCTCACTGTGTGCTTAGTCATGTCCCCTACGGCCGCCCGCTGTCCTGCAGATGACTATCTGGCTGTCTTTTATTCATTGTGGCTGCTCCATCTCTTGGGTTCTAAAGAACATGCCAGGAAATGACCCAGCTGCCCCAAGAAGTGGGCAGGCAGGACCCCGGGACATCACCAGGACACACTGCTCTGGGTACTGGGTAAGTACCTTGCTAGCTCTTTAATTTCATCTGTGTTAAGGAACTTGCTTTGTGAGAAGAGGACAGAGCCTCTTGCCTCTGTTTTTAACCCTTTCATTCCAATTGTTAGACATGTTTTCTACAAAGGAGATTTTAAAACGCTTATTCTCTAAGCAGTCTGTAATTAGAAGTTTATATCCCACCACAAGTGTTTGATGGCCTTTAATTAAGATACGTAATATGACAACTCTTTTGTTTCAAAGAACATCATTGCAATAAATCTCCTCGATCAGTTAATTGATCATTATTAACCTTTCTTTCTAATCCTACAAAATTCTACTCCCATAAATTCTACTGTTTTTTTTTTTTAGTCTCTTTATTTTTCCCCCATTTCTTTTTTTCACTTCCCCCTGTACAATTAGCTCACAGTGTTGAAATGTCCTCCATGAAAACCCTTTACTTCCTCACCCTCCTCTCACTGTGGAGATCTAAGCTTTTCTAGTTCAACACAACATTGGGCATCCAGGGCCTTGGATCTACAACTGAGCTTCCAAACTGAATGCCTTGCTCTTGGTTGGAGCCAGTATCTCCTAAGAGGTTAAAATAAATACAGCCTGTTCCATGAGCCCTCAAAGACATGCCGAGTCACCATACTCCTGCTGCTGTGTCTCTGTGTGCCTTGGTTTACCACTGTTGCTCCAGAGCTACCTCTTTACTTGTGTGTGTGTGTGTGTGTGTGTGTGTGTGTGTGTGTGTGTTAACATTTGGAAATTTTCCTCTCTTTGTAATACCTCCATATACAGTACGGTTTGGCGAATGATGCAGACAGCGTGACAGGACCACGGTGCCTACCTATGAAAAGGTTGCTCATGTTGGACTTCAAAGGTCTAAAAATTAGGACTTGAAATTTCATCACTCCCATTTGTAAGGGAAGGGGAGTAGGGCATCCGGGGGCTCAGTTATCACTTCTTTTCTGGTTTATCTCCCAGGAGTTTTGGTTCGGAAGGGAAGGAGACAAATTAAATCCAGGGACATTTAACATTTTATTTCATTCATCCAATGACAAGCGTACTTAGGCTAGGTTAATTTTTTTTTTTTTTTACTTAAAACTAAGATGTCTTCCAATTTGATGCAGATTTTGCCATTGAGAGGTGACATAAAAAGAATGAGAAAAAAATCTAACTTCAAACAGAAATAAAAAGCAGAGTCTGCAATAAAAGCTATAAACAATAGGTAAGGAAAGACAAACATTGACATTTCGCACAGACCAAACAGACAAGAAGGGACTTGCTGGCCAAAGATAGCTCATATTTTGTTGAACTTCTCTGTTCTCCAAGTATCAGGAAGTTGGGCAAAACGTCAGCTCTCTTCTATGCTTTAAGGACTTCCCAGCACTGCTCTTGGCTAGCCTGTTCATAATCTGAAACTGGCATTTTCCAACAATTTTACCGGTTGAAACTACAGTTAAAATTCATTTACTGCAAATTTCTTAATCTTCCAGAGTTTCAAAGAAGGCTGTGGAATGAAACAGCGTTTACCTGAGATGGCGTTTAATGCATAGCTAGGGACCATGACCTTCATGCCAGAAACATGATTTCTTTTTTATGAAAAACATATACCATCTGCACCCAAGGCCTTTGAACTCCCCCTTGAAAGCATGGTTATGCTCTGTGTACTAGGGCCTAAACACACTGTACTGTTACAGAGTTACTAAATCTGTATGGAGTCACCTAAACAACTTTGTTGGCTGCTTCTGCCAACACCGCCTAGCCTGTAGCCGACTTCACAACTCTCATCTGTGAAACTGACTGCTTCTCCTATGCTAAGATAAACGGTCTGTAGGAGGAAAGAGGGAGAGAGGATACCCCGGAGAACCAATTACGATAATTTAGATCTATTTTCAAGAGAGTTTGTCAATTTAAATCTCTTGATAATTCTGAAGATTAAAGCAGAGGACTTAACAAAATTCCAGAAGATTCCGGAAGCTGCTCTTCCCTAATGATGAGACTCCAGCACTGCTAATCTGGTTTTTATCATGGGGAATAAGCTAATTCCTGCAGGATTAACCTCTAAAGAGATTCCCAAGCCTTAATTCAAATCTAAAATGTAGAGGAACACTCTTGGTAGGAACTGTTTCAGGGCGTTTGGTAGAAGCTGGTACAGACAAGGGCCAGGAATCCCAAGAAAATGAAGCTAGGATGCTGGTTTGTTTTGCAACCTTTAAAGTTCCTGTCCCTCTGAAAATTCTACCTACTGTCTCAGTTTAGCAAGGTGCTGAACTCTTGAAGTGGCCTCTCTCTGTGTGGTGGAGTGGTGACAGATATTAATCGAGTGGTCTGATTTTTCTGCTACCCTGTCCTTTCCCCCAAGCACTCCCAAGAGACCCACTTGAACCTTTCACACCTGCTGCATACACCTTGACCTTTGTCATAGCTACTGGCTGTCACTCAGGACAACAAACTGAGATTCTTTTAGAAGTGGGCTTTCCAAAATCATTTATAAAAGGGAACCTCTATGGCTGTGATTATTTTCGCTAAAAGGAATTTTCCAAGGTTTGTAAAAGCAGTATGTGTGATCTCGCATTCTTTTAAAAGAAAATAAACATTCTCATGTAGTTCAAGACTTTGCATTGCTTCAACTCCTGGAGACAATTTTTAAAAATCAATCATTTAGTGTTTGATAAACTGGGCTTCCTACACAGTAAAAAACACAGCCCAGAAAACACCTCCAGTTTTACCCCAAGGCAGGCACAAGTCCCTTTCTATGCTCCACAGGAGAACCAACCTTAAATGTTCCTTTTGTTGACTACAACAAGCCTGATTTCTCTCTGCTGACAGTGACCTAAGGTTCCCTCTCAGGGTGAGCAGAACACACCTCCAGTTAACTTTGTTTTCCTGAAGGATTTGGGATGGTTTTCCAAATAACTGAAAGGGAGAAGCCAAGTGCCTGCTTACGCTCTGACCCTCAATCCCAACCCTACCCTTTAAAAAGTGGCTTTCAGAAACTGGTGAAGGTGGCAATTCTATATAGACACACAGTCGATAGGAAATTCTACTTCTGTGATTGTTAAAATATGGACGGCGTTTTTAGCATAAAAAAAGGACTGGGGACAGCACTTTTCAAAAAGTGAACGTTATTCGTCGTAATTAGATCAAGGTCTAGCTGAGGCCTGGAACTATGAAAAGCTTAAATTAAATCAATCTCCCTCCTAAAGAGGACAATTATTCATCTAAAACAGAACAAAAACAAAAACAAAAAGACGCAGCTTGGCTTTACAGCTTGGATCTTACTCCTACAACATCCTTTTAAAAGAACAGGACCTGACACAGCCACTGCGCTTTCAGCTGTACCTTTTAAAACCCACCGCCGAAGAAGAGCAAAGAAGGGAATTTAATTCCTCAAGCTCCCTGCCAGAGAAGTAGGGTAGTTGTTTTAAAAACGCCTGGGGTTGTTTATATATCGCTTCTGAAGGCCAAGGTTTAGAAGCAACTCAAAGCCAGGGCAAGATCAGGGTGAAAAGCTACCGGACCGAAGTGAGCAGCCCATTTCAAGTTGCGGCATCTACACGGGCCCCCTCCTCTAACAGAAATGCTGCCGGGTTGGACCTTCCCAGGTGTAGGAAGACACCTCAGCACCTTTCTTGCCTGGGGCTTACTTTTCTGGAAGGTTCCAGAAAAAGCAACAGGACTTGTTACTTGCGGCTTCTGGCAGGAGCAGGTTACAAAAACTCCTTGGAACTTTGGCAAACTTAACTTCACCTGCATGGACTTTGGACATTCCGATTCCTATAGGGCAGTTAAAAAAAAAGTGCGCTGGAGGGTGGGCGGTGCGGCATCCCCTGGAGCTTTCCCTTGTTGGTTTATTTTTAGTGACCGGAAGGTATTAAAGCGTCTCTCTCTCTCTCTCTTTTTATTCCCTGATGCCTTCATTTGAGAGACACAAAACGGTCTGGGTGTTCATACGGAGGTCCCAGAAGCCTACGAATGAAGACGGGTTTGTCCGCTCCAAGGTTGTAACTTTTCCTAGCTCGTAGCAAAGGTAAGGCCCTTGGTAGATGTCCTACGATTATCCTGACTTAAAAAACCAAAAGCCAAAACCCTCTTTGGATGCCTCTGGGACTGGCTAAGTGGGTCCCTCCCGAGGGTCGCCACGGCAACGCAGCATCCCCACATCCCAAACCCAGTGAGAAGGACCAGAGGCTTCCACAGGCAGTAACCCTCTCTCTAGATGCCGCTTGGCCTCTGCCCTCTAGGCTGACTCTGGGCATCGGCCGGCCTTCTCCCGGTCCTCCCACCACCCTCTCCAGGCCGGAGTACCTTGAAAGCGATGGGCAGGGTCTTGTTGCAGCGCCAGTGAGTGGGGAGCACGGAGCAGAGGAAGTTGGGGCTGTCGGTGCGCACCAGCTCTCCCGGGTGGTCAGCCAGTACTTCCACCATGCTGCGGTCGCCGCTCCTCAGCTTGCTGGCCAGGGCGGCGCCGCCGTCCGGGGCGCCCAGCGGTAGCGCCTCGCTCATCTTGCCGGGGCTCAGCGCGGTGGAAGGCGGCGTGAAGCGGCGGCTCGTGCTGGCATCTACGGGGATACGCATCACAACAAGCCGACTGAGTAAGGACCCTGAAAACAGCTCCTACTAGACGGCAACACGGGCTCGGATCTTCTGCAAGCAGCTCCCGGGAGACCAACATACAAGTTCAGGAGCCTTTATTACTACCGGACGGTTGTGGGGGAGGAGGGAGACTAAATTACCAACAGTTCCCGACTGAGTTCTAGCTACTCGGATCGGCCTCACAGCCAAGCAGGGCTAACAACTGGCCGATTAGTGCATTAAGAGTGGGCAGCCAGAATCCAAAGTCAAATGCCCAAAGGAGCCTGGCTTTCAGAGTTGAAGTTCAGTCTTTGCCTATTACAAACGGTCCCGGAGGCAAAATTCCCGTACACGTCCTGAAATATTTATGCGCAGAACAAAAAAATGACCAGCAAAAACTAGATTTGGAAGCCCCAGCAGTTAATTGCCTGTCAGCTTGCTTTTCTTTCTCGCCGGTCAGTTTTGTTTAAACTCCCAACAAAATACAAAACTTAGGAGTGTCTTCCATACAGGGGGCCTCTCCTATCACGAAAACCTCTCTTCGGTTCTCAAAAGCGAGAGAGCCACAACTTTAAAAGATTGTGCTAGTAATGTATTGCTCGTATATGTAAATATATACATACGATCTACTTCATAAAATATTTACAATACAATCTGTAGAGAATTTAAACACAACAGAAATCCATTAATGTTCACTGAAGTTTTTTTTTTTTTTTTAAATAGCCTTGAAAGTCAGCTTCAGTAGTTGAAAGGCTGGGGTAGATCACTTGTCATTATTTTCTCAATATTCTGGACAAATGGTCAGTGCAGAAAATTTAGCTTTACAAAGACCTCTATCTAACCGAAAAAAAAAAAAAAGCCAAACTCGATGACGCTCAGGCTAGAGCTTCCCACATCTGAGGCCTCGGGTTTGGAAACGTTGGTTAAGTTTGTGGCTGATCTTGTGGTTTGGTGGGAGTTGAGCCGAAGTTGGGTCACACAAGCAGACGCGCACTCTCCGAAGCCAGCCACTGTCTACATTGGTTGAGTGAGTCAGCCCAGACTCTGGCAGTAGCAAGACGGTTTTCCTCCAACGTCGCCCGGCGCTGGCTGGCTGGTTTTTCTGCTGGGGCGCACAAATACCCACGAGCGAGCGAGCACCGTGTAACCGCAGCAGGTGGAGCGGGCCCGGGAGGAAGCGCCACAGACCAGGAGGCTCCAGTTACACGCGCCCGCGCTCACTCCCACGCACCCTGCCACGCACACCAACTTCACGGCTCTCCGGGAACCCCGGAACACTTTCTCCCGCAGTTGTCAAAAGAAACAATCGGAGAAAAGTTCACGGCCAGGAGAGAAGTTGAAACATCCAAGCTTAGGAGCCAGTTCATTCAAAAGTGAGGAAAGAAAAACTAAAAAAAAAAAAAAAGAAAGAAAAGAAAAAAAAAAGAAAAAGAAAGAAAGAAAAGGAAAGGAAAACAAGGAGGTCCAACGCAGATCGAGGAGGAGCCAGCCGCAAAGGGTGACTTTCGTGCGTCCCCGGGAGCTCAGGATGCAGTGGCAGCCGCAGGGCCGGGCAGCGTGGTGCCCAGGCTGGGTCCGGCCGCGGGGCGCCCGTCCTGCCCGCGCCCGCTGGCTCTATGAATGAGAGTGCCTGGAAATGAACGTGCTTTTACTGTAAGCCCGGCCGGAGGAATTCCATTCCCTCAGCTCGTTTGCATAGGGGCGACGGGCGGC